TTACTACATTTTACTAATAAAATATAACTGAGTATACAAACTTTTTTTTGAAGCAGCGAGAAAGTAACAAAGATTTGGTTGAGACACAGATAATTTTAAGTTGTATTTGCAGTTGATTTCACTGGAAATGGATAATATTTCTGAACACACACTTGAAATGAAAAAAAAAAATCTTTTCACAGGAAAAAGTAAAACAGAAAAAAAGACTTAAACGCAATAATAACAAAACAATGAACACCAAGAGGAATATAACAAGTACAGCACTTAACAGATGTTTTACTCACATTAATATAACCAATACTGTACACATCTGAAACAGGGTTACCTCAATGTCACTCTTGGTAGTAGGAGAGGAGAAAGCTGTCTTTTCAGTTAATGAGGAACAAGTAGTACCATTGAGTGGGTTTCTCACGGAACAAGAAACATACAAACCTGCTAGCTGACGAAGCATGTTGATGTAATTGAGAATGCAGACAGTTGGGAATACTTAACCTCAAACAGAATTAGTATTGCTTTAAACAGGATTTTAACATTAATTGAGTATTACTGAAATTACTTCAAAATTCAAAAAGACTGCTACTTCTTACAGAGTCAAATTGATCTTTTAAATGTTCACATTAATAGAGCCCCAAATATTACTACTGTCAGGTGAATCCTATAACAGGTACATGAATGTTTATTTTTCTGCTAAAACGCATTGTGCGTCCAATTCTTAAAGAGAAGGCATGACTTGGCCATAGGACAGTTAACATTCACACCGGTATTACAAATCCTTTGTGATTATCTGCTTGTGTTTATTGAGTTTCTGCCAATGTAGGAGACATCACATGGCCCTTCACAGAATGTGAGGAAAAGGGATACAAAATCAAAAGAAAGAGGAGAGCTTAAGATTTTCAGCTGTATAAAGAACTTCAACAAAAACAATTGTGGAGGGGATAAAGGAAGTGGGCAGGAGGTGGTGGTTAAGGAGGTACTTCTATGGGGTCAGGTCTAAGAAGGTGAAGGCATCGCACCAGTGACACAAAGGGACCGCAGCTGTATTGAAGCCAGGACTCAGACCCGACAGGTCAGGGTGGAGTCTGTACAGTCACATCAGGTTATGGAGTGAAGTAGGCAATGTATCAAGTAACTATTACGATAAATCAGGACCGTCATGGTTTATTTTTGAATGCAAAACTTCATCATCCAATCACACCAGTATGCTCAGATATAAAAATATTTTAATTATTGAGTAGTGTGGGTTTGGTGTGCATTTAAAGGCTGAAGTCATATAATTTTACATATTGTACAGTAATTTCCAATGTCAACAAGTTAACGTACACTTCAGAACCTTTATTTACATAAATCAATCATTAGCTAAGAAAGCATCAAACTCCAAACAGCAAGTTTGAGCATTTTGTATTACAACTGTACAAATCTAGAAACTTACTAACTAGAAAATCTGAAGAAAAACTGGGTAGATGCAATATTTATAACAATCACAAGTTGAGGTCTATAAAGACAGATCACTTGTCTGATAATAACTTCAGATATATTCTAAATTTTAAAAATTCACAGTTAAACATCTGTTAACTCCTAAGAATACTCTGCAGTATCATGTAATTGACAACAGTGAAGAACACCTAACAATCTTATTTCTGTAATGACACTAGTCATTATTGGCAAACCCAGTACATATTGAATCATCTAAAAACGTTAAAAACCGACATAAGCAAGTTATAAAGTTGCAAACTGTTCTGTACTTAAGCACATTCTGTTTATGACATACCATAATTCATTTTTAAGGAGTAGTTACAATAATAACTTGAAAAATTAAAAATATACACTAAGAATCAATAGAATCCCTACAGTGTGGAAACAGGCCCTTTGGCCCAACAAGTCCACACTGACCCATCCCCCTATAACCCACCTAATCCACACATCCCTGAACATTATGGGCAATTTAGCATGGCCAATCCACCTAGCCTGCACATCTTTGGACTGTGGGAGGAAACCAGAGCACCCGTAGGAAACCCATGCAGACACCAGGAGAATGACAAACTCCACACAGACAGTCGCCCGAGGGTGAAACTGAATCTGGGTCCTTAGTCAACAAGGTGCAGGGCTGGATGAACACAGCAGGCCAAGCAGCATCATAGGAGCAGAGAGGCTGACGTTTCGGGCCTAGACCCTTCATCAGAAAAGGGGGAAGGGAAGGGGGTTTTGAAATAAATAGGGAGAGAGTGGGAGGCGGATAGAAGAGGGATAGAGGAGAGGATAGGTGGAGAAGAAACAAACAGGTCGAAGAGGCGGGGATGGGGCCAGGAAAGGTGAGTGTAGGTAGGGAGTTAGGAAGGGGATAGGTCAGTCCAGGGAGGACGGACAGGTCAAGGGGGCGGGATGAGGTTGGTCGGTAGGAGATGGAGGTGCGGCTTGAGGTGGGAGGAGGGGATAGGTGGGAGGAAGAACAGGTTAGGGAGGCAGGGACGAGTTGGACTGGTTTTGGGATGCGGTGGGGGGAGGGGAGATTTTGAAACTTGTGAAATCCACATTGATACCATTGGGCTGCAGGGTTCCCAAGCGGAATATGAGTTGCTGTTCCTGCAACCTTCGGGTGGCATCGTTGTGGCACTGCAGGAGGCCCAGGATGGACATGTCGTCTGAGGAATGGGAGGGGGAGTTGAAATGGTTCGCGACTGGGAGGTGCAGTTGTTTGTTGCGAACCGAGCGTAGGTGTTCTGCAAAGCGGTCCCCGAGTCTCCGCTTGGTTTCCCCGATGTAGAGGAAGCCACACTGGGTACAGCGGATGCAGTATACCACATTGGCAGATGTGCAGGTGAACATCTGCTTGATGTGGAAAGTCTTCTTGGGGCCTGGGATGGGGGTGAGGGAGGAGGTATGGGGGCAGGTGTAGCACTTCCTGCGGTTGCAGGGAAAAGTGCCGGGTGTGGTGGAGCTGGAGGGGAGTGTGGAGCGGACAAGGGAGTCACGGAGAGAGTTGTCCCTCCGGAAAGCAGATAAGGGTGGGGAGGGAAAGATGTCTTTGGTGGTGGGGTCGGATTGCAGATGGCGGAAGTGTCGGAGGATGATGCGTTGGATCCGGAGGTTGGTGGGGTGGTACGTGAGGACGAGGGGGATTCTTTTTTGGTTTTTATTGCGTGGACGGGGTGTGAGGGATGAGGTGCGGGAGATGTGGGAGACACGGTTGAGGGCGTTCTCGACCACCGAGGAGGGGAAGTTACGGTCCTTGAAAAACGAGGACAACTGAGATGTACGGGAGTGGAATGCCTCATCCTGGGAGCAGATGCGGCGGAGGCGAAGGAATTGGGAATAGGGGATAGCATTTTTGCAGGAAGGTGGGTGGGAGGAGGAGTATTCTAGGTAGCTGTGGGAGTCGGTGGGCTTGAAATGAATATCGGTTTCGAGGTGGTTGCCCGATATGGAGACAGAGAGGTCCAGGAAGGGGAGAGAGGTGTTAGAGATGGTCCAGGTAAA